AACTAGATCCAAAGCTTTGGGGTTCGCATGTACACCATAGGATTGAGGTAGTGCTCAAAACCATCAGGTTTTAACCATACTCAAAAGAGGTGAACTAAGTAGAGTTTGTATGTGTCTTTGATGTTATCTAAGTTTTATTCTGACTATGCTCAATGTTATATGGATCCAAAGTAAAGGTGTGTTGGTTGGAGCCTATAACCAGTTATGGATATAGAAGGTGAGGGGAAGGGGAAAAGAGTACAAGGCTTATGAACAAGACAGGTGTACTACCATAAGCATATCTAGGTGGTTCTCGAGGTAGCAAAGGAAAATTTTTGGGTATAGCCTTTTACTTTAATCTTGGATCCGCCACTTTGTATGTGTACTAAGAGTTGAAACATTGGTAACCACCCATGTGTAGATAATGAAATAAGTATTTCAAGGTAAGTTCACATAAGTAATATTATACAAAAACCCTAGATTTTATGCAATTCTTTTTTTACTAACTCATAACTGGAAAAAATATTTGTATTTTAATTCTTAAATTTATAACCTAACAGATTGATATGCCAAACAATTCGGTTACATATTTAAATGAAAAGTTAATGCATTTTCCAAGGAGTGCGTGAAGTTGTTATTATGTTTCCCATGCCTACAAGTTTGAAAGATATCAAACTACTTTAGTAGGTATATTACATAGTGCTACTATTCATATTTGGATTATGACCTTTTAGCCTTTATAATTTAGTTCTTTCAATTAATTTCTCATATATTCATGAAGTTGCCATTATCCATATTTGGATTATAACTTTTCAGCTCTAATTTTGATGTTTGTGATATGATTTTAGGAAGCAAATATGGCAATCAACAACAAGTCTTGTATTTTTATATCTTCCATCTTCTCAAGTGTTTTTAAACATCAATTAAACACTAATATTTAAAGCATTTAATGTGGAAAAAATAGCCTTAACTATAACTCTTTATGATGTTCATTACCTTCTTAACATGTGCTTTTACTATATAAAACATTTACTTTTTTCGTTCTTTTACAGCCACTACCATATGATTGTTTGGTTTGTCACTAACGTCAAAAGTGGATGGAAAAGTATGTTTATGGTATTGAAATTTCCCAATGTTTTTTTTTTATTTTTTTAGTATAGCATTTTCATACAATTTATAATTATGGGAACATTTACTTAGGTCTTCACAACCACAACTTCTGATGACCATAAAGCATTCCACTACTCTTATTGAAATAATCAAAACGATAGTGCATGATTATCACAAATATATTATAAGGATAGAAACAAAAACTTTTACAAATTGTGTAAATTGTACGTTGCTATTAATTGTTGCTAGTTTTTTATTTAAGTTGAAAGTATGTTGCTAGTTTTTTATTTGATTTGAAAGTATGTTATTATTAATAAAATGATACGACATGATGTTTAATTTGGTGTAAACATGGTTTTAATTTCTTTGTTAATCCGGAATTTCATTTGTGACATTTGGGTACAGATTAATGGTAGATTCAACACCTAATAGACCATTGCTAATTACATTAGTAACAATGATTAAATATATAGAAATATTGTTCATTTACAAATAATCAACAACGGATAAGCGACGACAATTAGCGACGGATCTTTGACAAAATGTACTTAATCCAAAAGTCTTCCGTGATAGCCCAATCACTTGTTGATCCGTCGCTACCCATTAGCTACTAAGGTTTTTTCATCTGTATCCGTCATTGATTTATAACTAATGGCTTTAGCAACGGATTTCCCGACAGAAATGTTCGTCGCCAATACTTATGTTTCTAGTAGTGCAACACATATTAAAATCACATCGATCATGGCTTCCACCTTCATATTGGGTGTGAATAAAATTAAATTTAATTCTCAATTTAATGTTACATTTTTTACTATTGTCATGATTATTTAATCCAAATTTTACTTATTTGGTCCATTTTAAATTTCAATTATGATAATATTCTAAAATACTAACCATTGTTTGTAAGTTGAAAAAATGTATTATGATTTTATGTTATTATTAATTATTATTATTGTGCACTAATTTTAAACTAGTTATTACTATTAAATAGTTATGAATGATCATCCATTAGTTATTTTAAAACCATTAACTATTATTATTAGTAAATAATTCAAAAGTTACAAATCTATGTCTAGGTAGAAAAATTTATTTTTCATTACACTTATGTGAAATCTTGTTACGTTTTATGGTTGACAAGATTTACATAATTAAAGGATGTTGTGTGAGAAGTAAAACTAGTGAACCATGTATGCAAGTTTTGTGAAGGGGAGTTCGTATACTATGTTCAGATATGTACATGATTTGGGTCGTAACCTTGTAATAACAAGAGTTGAACATAATCCGTGTTAATCCGATTCTAAACCGGTCCATAAATCGGGTCCCATCACTAGTATCTTCATACCTATTTAGGTGGTGACATGTGTCATTCAATTTAATTTAGATTACATTAAGATGTTAAATTTGTACACTTGTCACAATCTTAAATAGGTAGAAATAAAAGGTAGGAGGATATTTAATTTCTCTCTAATAAATATAGTTGAGGCAATTGTAAAGGCCTGGTACCATTTCGGTTTTATTAGATTCCTTTTGTCGGATCTAATGTGCTTCAACTGATTTTTTTTTTTTATGATAAAAACAATTTTTTTAATACCTTATAATACTTTTAAAAATTATTGAGCATTAAGTGGTACAAATTTATAAAAAGATTTATTTTAAAGAAATAAACTAAATGTTTTATAAAACTTACAAAAAAATGCATGGAAACTTAAAAAATTACGAAAAAAATGCATTGAAATGGCAAGAACTAAAATACTAACCATTGTTTGTAAGTTAAAAATGTAGTATGGTTTTATGTTACTATTAATTATTATTATTGTGAATTATTTTAAACTAATTATTACTATTAAAAAAATATGAAAGATCATCAATTAGTCATTTTAAAACCATTAACTATTATTATTGGTAAATAATTCAAAAGTTACAAATCTATGTCTAGATAGAAAATTTTATTTTTCTTTGCACTTATGTGAAATCTTGTTACGTCTCATGGGTGACAAGATTTACATAATTAAAGTATGTCGTGTCGGAAGTAAAACTAATGAACCATGTGTGCAAGTTATGTAGAGAAGTTCGTATACTATGTTCATATGTGTACATGATTTTGGGTCGTAACCTTGTAATAACCAGAGTTGAACATAGTCCGGGTTAGTCCAATTCTGAACCGGTCCATAAATCGAGTCCCATCACTACTATCTTCATACCTATTTAGGTGGTAACATGTGTCATTCAATTTAATTTAAATTAGATTGAGATGTTAAATTTGTACAGTTGTCACAATTTTAAATAGGTAGGAATAATTGTAAAGGCTTGGTATTGTTTCTGTTTTATTAGATTCCTTTTGTTTGATCTAATGTGCTTGGTCTGATTTTTTTATAATAAAAACAATTTTTTTCAATACATTATAATAGTTTTAAAAATTATTGAGTATTAAGTGGTACAAATTTATAAATTGATTTTTTTTAAAAGAAATAAACTAAATGTTGTATAAAACTTACAAAAAAAAATGCATGGAAACTAAAAATTAGGAGAAAAAAAATGCATTGAAATGGCAAGAACTAAAATACCCATTAAAATTGCAAGAATTACAAAAACATGCAATGAATGCTTAAATACTTTTCAAAATGAAACCATTGTTAAAAAGTCA